AAGTGCTCTGAGAGACAAGTAAATGTGTTTTTGAGCTATAACGTCCTTCCATTTCAAAGTAGCCATTTGAAACAAACGTTGTTTTTGATCTGATGAAGTGAAAAATTCCAAAAATACGTCGAACAGGCAAGCAAAAAGGAACCTCAATGATGCTGAGATATTTGCAAAACTCCGGACCGCAGGTGTATGAAAGAGTAGGCGGAAAATAATAAGTTAAAATTGCAAAAAGGAACCATTAATTTTGTGCGAAACAGAAAACCATTCTTAGAAATGGAGTAGAAAAATCACCTAGGAAGCCTACTGTCATAGCCTTATCAACAATTTGAGGTCTCAGTAGGTGGAAAAGATTTCTGTGGTTAGCCCAATCTTTCAGAGAAAAATCGTGAAAAGATACATTCTTAGCACCCCGAAGCAAAGGTAAACAGATCCTAGAAACTTAAGAGCTGCACGATAGAACTACGTGTTTACAGGAACCTCAACTGTGAAGTCAACAGATTATGGCGTAAACTCGCCCTCACGTACGCGTGGAAGCCATGAGTGAGTTCGAAGTTCCCATCTCCTATGTCTTTTCTTTAAAGAGTAATTCTGTTTTTTTTAAAGGAGCTCGAACGGCTGCTACTAATAAAGAAGAATATCATCTAGAAAAGTCGCTACTCACCTTTAGTTTCCTATAAAACTATTCATTGTTTGAGGAGTTTACTTATAAAAACATTGTAAAATTAGATCAGAACTCTTACATGAAGCGCACCATTGTCGTTTCCATGGAAGCTTTTTGGTAGTCGATATTCATAGTCTGCGAAACCTTAAACGATAAGGCATACATTCATTAACTTGCTAAATAACACTGTGTAAAGTGAAGTCCTTATTACGTATCTCGAAAAAAGAAGCTTTCCTTGTAGAAAGGCCTGTGACCAGTTGGAATTTCTTACTAGGTATGATCCAGCGGCAACCTCCCAGTTGAAGAAACGATCATAGAATATTATTTCCATCTTCGGATCAATGAAATCCTCTATTCGTCTAGAATCGGTTTCGTTGCCTATATAGTAGCGTTCTGTGTTTATATAGATGTATTTATGAAGATTTTCCACCTCTTCATATAATACGCTATCTAACCCTTCGTTTGAGCCCATTATATTAGATGGCACTTTAAATGCTATGTATGCTTTTTTCAACCTCTATAAAGTGGGGAGTTTGTAGGTAAATGGTTCAATCCCAATGACCACGTGGCGAAGTTTCACACCACCGCTTTTCTGCATTATTCCAAAAAACGGATGTTTTATAGGAAATCGTTTACAGTAGTAATTATATGGTAGAGGGTTCTCAAAAGCGAAGAACTCAATTCAAAGAATGCGACGACGTTGGGGCACTTTTTCGCGTCCTTTGACATTTTACAAAATGTTTGCTTTCCTCAGTTTGTAGTGAATTACCTTTTCGGATTCACAACTCCTATGTCGGAATCCATAAATAGAACGTAATTGACTTTTTTGGAGTTCCTCAAAAAATGAGCAACGAGACAGTGACGTCGGAAGAATATCTTAATATATACATATTCTTTCCAAAATCAAGCTCTGCTGAGGAAATCTTAATCACTCTGATTTCTTGATGCTCTGTGAACTTTTCTCATTTGTGTATACCAATATTCCGAAAATATGAGAAGACTCACGTTACGATGTGGACAGCTGAGATTCTGGTGTGCGCTGCCATTTAACAACCGAACTTCATAGTTTTGAATTAAAGAATAACATAACACACTTTCTGAAATCCTAACCACTATCCTCTGCTAAGTAACTAGTCATTTGTTAGAGAAAAAGGGCTGAGAAATAAATGGTGCACATGGAGAGTGAGCTTAGCACTTGACCAGAAATCAGTAGAAACACAATACTGCACGTTATTTGACCCATCCAGGTGGAAATATTGCCTGTCATGTTACCACTGTCTCATGGAATGGTGGTGTGTACTAGAAACAAAGACGGACAGTACAACAGCGCTTGGTAGAGAATTTGCAGTAAAATCTTGGAATTTTTAATTCACGGTAAAATTTAAGCCCTGTGGGTGGAAATTTATTTTTTAACGATAAGGCCTACATAGGTGGATTCCAGTACTTCTTGCATTCCATTGTGTTCTTCTTATCCATCACATCTACTGCATTAGCATTTCTACTTTTATTGATGTATGCCGTTCAATGCCGGCCGAGCCTGCTTCCAATCCTAGGATAGCAGTTCGGAGTCTTTCTCAGATCTTCGTTTAACGGTAAGTGCCAACTCTCTTGTATTGAGAGCAGCAGGCTGATACTAGACAAGTCCGGTGCCAAATTTTCACGTCGGAGATTTGACAGCCTTGGTGCGCTTAGGATGAAATTATTCAAAATAAGCTAACTAAAACACCATAGCAAGCTGCTATCACGCAACGATGGCATCCTACGTTTTATTTATTCCTTCATTGTGTTTTACGCTTCATCCCCAAAAGCAATCGGGTTCGCATCTGGATTCGACTACAAATTGAGAGCATGTCGTTTTTCCCTTCAATGAGACGTTGACTTCTATTCTAGTATGGTTTTCCATGTTATTTTGGGCGCCTGTTTACTACCACACTCAGGTCCTTGCCACATTTGACAGGTAATTGCAAGCTTATGTGGATTGGACTGAGGTATGCCGCTCAGTTTCCTTTCAGGAAGACAAACGCTTCTGTGATGGAAGCAACTAGTTGTACCCATGAAAAATGGTGCAGGACCTGGATTGATTTGTAGCAAACAATGTGAAGACGTGAAAAGGATAGAGGAAAGAGGGTGAGGACGAAAACAAGTTCGAAAACAAGTAGTGAAACTTATGGATTGCATATTGATATGAAGCCGTGTCTTTATCGATTACTTGGACGATTGCTATACGAATGGCGGGGTTCCTGTAATCGAAGATAACATTAAATTTTTAGACAAATAGGACGATTACCTTATTATCTGTGCACCTCTCAAAATGTGTTAATCATTACGATTTCATCTGGCTTGATGTCCACCACTGAGAAATGGGTTACCGGGATTTACAACTTTGTGTTAAGCATGGAGACAGCAGTAAAATTTTCTCTAAAAGTAAAGAGATGCGCCAAAGTTTGATACCGCTAGCACCACTAATATCCCTCATGACTTAACAGTGAATGCCACTGTGGGCAGCCGAAGTCTCTGTGGCGATCCTTCTCTGTTATATCAAGGACTCCTTGCTATTCATAGGAAATAGTTCATTGGTAAGCGGACTTTTACCCAT